TAGGTAGTGAACTAAAAAATGCTGTTGCAACACTTTCATTTGCCAAATTGGTATGTTTACCCTCTTGCCAATGAAAAGACTGTTATGATGGTTAAGAAAGAGAGAATGAAGAAATTCTGATGACTGGATGAGAAAAAATTTACTATAAAGTTAGTTAGACCAAGTAACAAATCATGTTTAGTACAGTTTCAGTCTACTGCTCAGCTGAGAAATATCTCTCATTTGAAGTGAGTTGAAATATTGGTTTTAAAACCTTCAATATGGTATAAAACATCTTGAAACATTTGATATTTAGTCATTATACTTCTTACAGCAAAGTTGAGGGCTAGAGTTAAATGCTGCACATAGTATAAAATGAAGACTTGATCACTACTCATTTTAGGTTTATGTGTATTTGGGAGTTATAAAATGGCTGGTTGGCATTTTTTCATTTAATATTGGACCAAGGTCAATTTTTTTTCAAATCTGTTGATTCCCAATTGGGGACTTCAAAATTTTAGTTGCCAAATGTATTTCTCACTTACCACGGCAACCAAAATGGTTGCAATTTGGAGCTTTGTTAAGAAGGCAATTCTTTTAGCCTGGGTATAGTTGCTCAGATTTCTTAGTAAAGATATGATTTTCTTTCTACAGCACGGTATCAATCAGACATTGAAGGAGAAGATGCTATTAAACTTGCTGAGAGGTTCTACTCTGAAGCAGCTCTCATTAATGTTGACATAGGTGACAAAAATTAATTAATTACAATGATTTCCTTGTGTTTAAATGAGGACTGATAACTTTAATATCTCTCTATGCCTCTGGGCCCAGTTCAAAGCATAGGTAATGCCATCTAATGTATAAATCACTATCCAGCAGATACCCCTGGTACATGTAAGTTTTAACAAAATGTGCAGCATCATTCACTGGGTAGAGATTAATCCAATGGATGGTTATTATTCACCTTTCACACCAGATGTATGAATTATTTACCAAAATTTTTTTCCTTTTCTTAGGCATGCCTCAAAACCAACTTGGAACCCTTGCTGGCACGAAAGCTTATGGCTGTGAGGGAGCCTATTTTTACTTACGCTGGTGAGATTTCACTTAATTACCCTGTCCAGAGATATTGATGTGTTGAGCAAGGGTAATCTTGCTCAGTTACAAAGGAATAAAATGCAAAGTTTCCAGTGTTGTTTTTATGACAAGAAAATAGGATTCATATTCCTTAGCTTGCCAAACTTTTTGCTATCATTGTTCTACATTTACAATATATGATTATGTTACTACCTTTTTCAAAACATGAGTACAAAGATGCATAAATGAGAATAATTTCTATGTACTACATTTCAAGTCTACACAGCAAACTTATGTTGGGATGCATGGAATCTGTTGTTTTACAGTTTGTTGTCCAAGGAGGTGTTTGATGGTGCTGAAGGAAACTTGCTGAGAATTTTTGAAAAGAACCGTTCCATCCTGCATAGGATTAAAGAGTTGCCTTTGGATGAGCCCAGACCCAAAG